ACGTGCGCTCGCCGGACCCTGCGGACATCGACGTATAGTCGTCCAGCGGCGCAGCCCCGTCTCGATTTGTTCGGAGAAGTTGCATTTCCTTCTAGAATAAAACTCAGATTAAGAACCAGGCCAGATTAAGAACCGACGAAAAAATCGACAAACGACGTTCAATATCTCAATAAGGAATCTATAAGACCCAATTAAAATCCACGAAATCCCTTATTGGGATATTATCCGGCTCCAGGGGGCCGGTTCTTAATCTGACAGGCGGTTTTTAAAGAACCGATTGTCGGTGCGGACTCTGCCTATGCTTAATTTCTCTCAAGAGGTCTTCCACGGACGCCTTGATTTGGGGGTGGAAGGAGGGGACCCAGACGCGCCCCCTGGCAGCGTTAAAATCGCAAACATCGGCGTCGCCGGGCCGCTGATTTTTTTTTCGCTTAGCCGGTTCTTAAACTGAGTTCTATTCTAGGAATTTTGATAAAAATTCCTATCTTTTTTTTAAAGTAGGATGCTTCCTATAGAACCTTCAGAGCACGCTAGCTCGTCGGGGCATGCCGAAAAAGGTGTACGCGTTATAGGCAGATATGCTCGTCTCGGCCAGGGCTACAATCCTGGCCTAGACGCGTACACCTTTTTCGGCATGTCATGATCAGTTACGGTGCTTGAGGGTCACATTTTGGGGCGTATCTCACCAAGGAAACGCCCCCTTGAAAATCTTTACCACCACCGCAACGCGATGCCAGTGGACCCGATCGAACGCCCGAACCACCGCCACTGTGCCATGGGTGGGGCGCGTGCAGCAGGCTGGAAGTTTAGGTCTTTTCGGACGTTTTTCGAGGAGTCGCCAAAAACGAAATCCGGTCTCGAAACAGCTGCGCAGTGCTATACAAGGGGTATCGGCGATAAAGCCGACCTCAAGTGACGCAAATTTGTGGCTCTCAGAGGTCGCCTGCGGGGTTGGTCGTGGTCGCTATGCCCCCCTGGCGTCCTTTGCCCTTGGAAAACGTTCGGTCTCTGTGGCTCCTTGTTTGACTCTGCTCGTCCGCGCCCTGCTCGTCCACGACACGCGTCGCGTAAGCTTCCCCCCTGCCCCCCGGGATGTCCGTGACATGATCAGCCTCGAGGAGGGCGCCTTGCAGGGGCGTGAACAAGCGCTTCCCCCAATATTTTGGACTTGATAAAATCTTTATTTGCCTCCTTACCTTGATTTTGACTTGATTTTGCCTCCGTATTGCGAAGGTTCGGGCCCGGCTGGCAATCACAGGACTGCAGGGATCGAAATTCTGGCTATGTGACGGGTTGGGTCCATACGCACTGGGGTGGTACATGACCGGCCCTCTACGATTGCCGCGAGTGGCGCTTCAGACGAGCCAAAACAGACGTTCAGATTTTTAGTTTGAACGTTTTAAACAAACAATGTCTGGGGGACCGGGCATCATGGGACTCAGCGCAACGTCCTCTATCACTCCCAACAGAGCCAAACTCCAACCGACGAAAACTCCGATTGCCAGAAAGTCCTCGGCGTCACTGGCGATACCCCTTGTAATTGGTTTTCGGATTCATATGTTTCTCGGTCTAGTTTTGAGAGTGTGAGCGCAATCGATCTCCGATAGTCCCGTCGCATCGGAACTGGTGTCGGGTGCCCATAAACTAGCTTCTGCAAAAGACCGTTTGTTCCCCCGACTCCTTTGGCCGGCGCGCGAAGCATTTCTTGCTCCGCGCGTTTCCCTTGATCGGGCCTTTCTCGGTCCATAGCCAACCGTTTTCGTCGCTCCTTGGAGCAACTGATCCGCGCCGAGGTCCGTCGCCTGCGCGGGCAACGTCGCTCCCGCGCGCGCCCGCGCGCCCCGTTGCCATCTACCAAGGCTTCCTTCATCACAAACGAGTACTGTTTTTCAGTCCAATGGACGACCGTTAAAGGTCAAGCTAGAGCTTTATACACACTTTTGATTCCATCATTTGACTCAAATCCCGCATGAAATTTCAGATAAAAAATAAAGTTGTATTGGAGCGACCCTTCGCTGGTCTAAAGGGAGATAGATTTCCCGCCTTTAAGGCAGTTGGCCCCTGGGATTCCCTTTTGCGCGGCTGGAGGGCGCTGTGGGCGCTCGGCCGAGGCGCCACTGCGCGCGCTCATGAATCACCTCGGGCTCGACGCGCCACAGCAAAGAGTTTGGTGCGCGCGCCCCGGAGTCGCGAGAAACTCGCTCGCGACTGTCTGCCCTGTTTTGAGCTCTTCAGAGCCCGGCTGTTGAGGGGACGATGCCCGACCTGAGAGGCGATAAACCGAGTCCACCTACATCCTGGCCATTATCGCCTCTCAGGTCGGGCATCGGAGGGGTCCGTGTCGCGCAAAAAGCGGTGAACGCACAAAAAAACACCAAAAAAGCCGGAAAGCTCCTTAGCCGAGGCTGTCAATCCATAAATAAATCCATTTTATTGAGCACCCGAAGCCTAACGGATTCCCCAAAGGCAGAAACTTTAGCCCAGTGCTTGACGGTAGAGCGGCAGTCTAGTAATCTGAAGGTCATCAGTTCGATCCTGTCAGGAGGCATGTTTCAGTTTGCTTTTTTGCCCATTGCAACAGACTCGGTCAGTTCGCGAGTAGCGATTGACGCGATCGCTCAAAGTCAGGGTCGCGGGTTCGAATCCCGTTGTCGTCAAAGATTTGTTCGGCGCCTCATATTTCTTTATGTTTCGACTAAATCTTTTTTTATGTTTATTTGAAGCGTTTTCCATCAAGCGCGTCGCGAAGGGGGGGGTCCAGGGGGGCACCCCCCGGCAGCGAACGCGCCAGGGAGGCGAAATTTCAGATGTTTCATCTTATCGGTAGCCCAGGAGAAGCCCGAGGTTCAGTGTCCTTTTCCAATGAGGCGCAGCGGCGATAGCGGGGGTCCGGGGGGGCACCCCCCGTTAGCGATCTGCAAGGAAGCTCCATAGGTCCTATGTTGCCGTCGAGCGGACTTCTAACGCCATCTCTGTCTTCGGCGATATCGGGTTGGGCCACGCAGTTCCCCAGTTCAGTCGATTCTAGATCAGCTTCAGGGTCTCTCTCTTCCGTAAGATGACGCGCAAATTTTGAAATATTTTCCAGAGGGCGTTAGGCGCTCCATTCA